TTTGTCTTAAAGCCCATGAACTGTGTGACCCTTTCCCTTTAAAGAAAACCCTTAGGAAGAGAAACATCACTATTGTCACTGCCTGCCCATTAGAAGTTGGATCCAGGTTTCCGAAAGTGCAAAGTTATAGAGGTCTGTCTGTTTAAAATCCAAGGTTACTCGTTTCTTTTCTATGACGGGAGGAAAGACCCCATGTTGCCTACACTGGATTTATTAATTCTCTATAAATTCTCTCTGCCCAGCTTGGGTGTAGCAGTGAGCTCATTTATTATTCACACAGCAACAATATAATGAAAACGCAGTCTGGCCTTAAAACTACACCCTCATGGGCCAAGTGCACAGTTTACCCTTCCTAATGCTTCTCTTGTGCTCATGGAGGTTTCTCCCCCTCTGTATTTGGGCGGTGATTTACTTTCCTTTAAAGGCATCTCGACATCTGATTTTATGCGAGAACCAAGCCTTTTGCGAGCCAGTCTACATCACGGCCAGTGTCTTTTTCCAAATGAGGAGAAAGTCACAACAGAAGGCTCAGAAGTGGAACGGGGCTCTTGGGTCACTTTCATTGGACATAGCATTTAGGAGGCAAAACACTCAATGGAAACAGTGCCCCGATTGTCAAGCCTCTAGCATGCCTCCCCTGCTGCTTTCTGGAAGCTCTTTGTGCAGCAAGTGCTAAAGCAATATTTAGTTATGGAGTGACCAAGCGCCAAAGAGCAGCTAGAAGCATTTAACGTGAAAGGACTTGGTGGGAAGTGACGTCGGGGCTCCTCAGGGGCTGAGGTCTTCCTCTGGACAAAGCCGAACGTGACCCGTGACAGAGCTGGGTGCCACAGTCATTTTTTATTGCCGTGGACCGAAATGCTCTTTGAGAACTGTAACGGCATGGGCATTCTGGTTCTTTTGATGTCCAAATAAATGCAACAGGCCACTGAACACTAAATCTAGATTTTGAAATGCATTTTATTTTTTTTTTATTTTATTTAAAAAAAATTATTTTTTATATTTATTTATTTATTTTTGAGAGACAGAGTGAGACAAAGTGAGACTGGGGGAGGGGCAGAGAGAGAGGGAGACACAGGATTGGAAACAGGCTCCAGGCTCTGAGCTGTCAGCACAGAGCCTGGCGCAGGGCTCGAACCCACAGACTGTGAGATCATGACCTGAGCCAAAGTCGGACGCTCAACTGACTGAGCCACCCAGGCGCCCCTGAAATGCATTTTAGAGAGATGCTCATAGACCACCCTGAAGAGGATGTGATTATGGAAAGGGATCAAGGCATGAGAATTTCTAGACCCAAATGCCTAGCGCTCTCGGTTCCTCCCACGGCTTCACTGGGAGACAAGATGCAATGGCTGATGGAACAAACCACGCGCGTGGCAGAACTTGGTTCTGCGGCAGGGATGTCGCTTCGAGAGACACCTGACCCACCAAGGGCCTCTGCCTTATTCGAGAAGATTAAACACAGGAAAATGGGAAGAAAATGAGAAGGTCTAGGATGAAACACTCTCTTAGCTTTTGGTAGCAAAGCAGGGAAGAGAGTTCTCCTTAACAAGACGCTCTCTGGAAATGTTCCCACGTAGGGGGACAGGGTGAGAACTCTGATTCTCCCTGGCTCAGCATACCCCGACCCTCCCTCCTGTGTTCCACCTGTTCCCTGCCTTCTATCGCCACAGCTCCATCTTCTAGAGGTGACTGCGATTTCTAGATGGGAAGGTGGACTGCCTCCTACAGGAAGAGTAAAAAGATTGGCCAAAACGTAGGGAGTCAGCTCGAAATTTGTATCAGTGCCTGCGTGTCTTGTTTTTGTTGTTGTTTTGTGTTGTGTTTTAAAGAATCTTGAGGTCAAGTCATTTTATTAAACTTTTCAAGTGACTCTGGGAAAGAATCAGATAAGGGTATCTGGATCATAAAATTTTAGCAAAAACCATTAGAGACAATTCAACCCTACTCCCCATTTCACAGTTCAGGGAACTGAAGTTCAGAGAGGTTATTCAGACGGTTAATGACAGCAAAGTAAATGAGAACCTGGTTGGCTGGGCACATACTACTTTTCTCAGTGTTCCTGTTGCTTACATTAGCAAGACAGATTAGAAATTTACTAGGAATTTAGTACTTTCCCAATTTCACAAAGAAACTCACTTCCTTGCTTGAGAAGCAAAACTTGAAATCTGGGTATCTTAAATTTTGGGGGGTCCCCTTTCCCTGGAAAGACCATTCTGGGAGATTTAACTATACAGCAGTCTCCCCTCATCCCTTGTGAATGTGTTCCAAGACCTCCCCCCGCCCAGTACCAGTGGGTGCCTGAAACCATGGTTAGTACCGAGCCCTATATATATATACTATGTTTTTCCTGTACATACATATCTATGATAAAGTTTAATTTATCAATTTGGCATAGTCAGAGATTAACAACAACAATAACAAAATAGAACAATTATAATGATATGCTATAACAAAAGTTATGTGAGTGTGGTCTCCTTCTCTCAGAATATTCCTATTGTACTGTACGCACCCTTCTGAGAATGACGTGAGATGATAAAATGCCTACGTGAAGAGATGTCAGGTGAGGGGAATGTCAGTACGTGACAAGGAGGATCATTTACTTCTGGACTGTGATTGACCATGGGTAACAGAAATCGTGAGAGCAAAACAGTGGATAAATGGGGACAATTGTGTCTGGTTACATGAAGTCCTCCATTTGGACCAATTTGAAGTCATGTGACAAGGTGGTATTTCCAATGAGAGAGAAAGCCAGCACAGCAATGTTCTCGGTGGTACCACGGTCTTTACATCCCCTTAATCATCTGCTCAGGACTATACCACTATACCTGGGTGGCGGGAATTTCCCACCTTCCTAAACCCACATTCCCTCAGCACGGAGGCTACTCTCCTGATCTGGGATGGGAGCCTTCCGAAGTGCCTTTCATTCTTCCTGGCCCAATGGATGCTGTTTAGCACCCAGGATTCTGATGAGCTGGAACTGCTGATAAAGTGTCCTAAACATGCCTTCCTATTTTAGGGCTGGGCAACATCAACCATTAGCTGGACAGATGTGAGTTCAAATATCAATGCTGCCTCTTACTAGAGGGATGTCCTTCAACAAGTTAACTAACCTCTCAGACTTCAGATTCCTCCCCTGTAAAATGAGGTCGTAATGAACATCTTATGAGGCTATTGAGAAGATCAGATGAGATTATGGATATAAGGTCCCTAACATGGAGCCAGGGCTCCAGGGCACTTTTGGGTTACCCGCACTTTAGTTCTACAACTACCTTGAAAAATGAGCCACTTGATAGCATGCTAAAGGCCATGCAGTCAGTTGGTGGTGCATTTGAAAATAAATAGCTATTCTGATAAATAATTGGTTTAAGCACACTCTGCTTTAAGAAAACCAAATAAAATTTACTCCAATAAATCAGATGTGATTATGGCATTGCCAAAGATTCTTTGCTTCAAGAATGGACCTTCTCTGGAGTCCCTTTAAACAGAGGATTCCTTGGTACTCTACAGATATTACTGGAGTTACATAGAACCTTTAGAGGAGACACATTGTCCTAAGTGAGTCACACCCTGACTCCTTCAACAGGAGCAGCATACCTCTCTAGAAGTGTCCCTTGACAACTGGGTGGGTGGCACTCTTGAGAAGCAAGTGTACTTCTGATGGCATCTAGCTTTTTCCACAAGGCACCCACATAAGGATGTTATTTTTTAAGTTTGTTTATTTATTTTGAGAGAGAGAGAGAGAGAGAGAGGGAAGGGGCAGAGAGAGAGGGAGAGAGAGAGAGAGAGAATCCCAAGCAAGTTCCTATCTGTACAGAGCCTGACACGGGGCTTGATCTCGCGAACTATGAAATCATGACCTGAGCTGAAACCAAGAGTGGGACGCTTAACTGACTGAGCCACCGAGGCACCCCAACATAAGCCTGCTTTTAAAGATGCGTTCAACCAATATTAAGTCTCGGTTTTATCATCAAATCAAATAAACAAATGCATTCTTTCCTCTCCCTCACAAATACAGCATTATCCACTCAGCCAGACATCATACCACACACAATATCTGACCTATTCACTGTGATAAGCACATTCACATAGCATGAAATCATTGAAAAAGGAAGGAAAATTACCTTTGTTTGCTTTGGTGTGGGTTCATAAGAAGTTGCTAATGCATTCATAGAAATATATACTATCTCTAAGCTTTGTGACAAGCTGCAACTGAGTTAGAAGGCCTTGGCATTGACCAAACAAACAAACAAAAAGACCTTTGTACATTTTTAGGGAGGTGTTACAGTTTGCTCATTCCCCCGGCGTGGGTGGCTCGGCTGGGAGGAGAGACTTCTCATTTTCAAAGTAAGCTCATGAAGTCCTGCCCCTAAGTGCTCAAGGACCTCCAGTTCTGTGTAAGATTTAAAATTCATCTTGACCCTTGAGGGTAGGGATTTTAGATGAACGTTCACTCCTCCACACAGCCCCCGGAGCCATGTATTGAGGGGGAAAATCGTTTAAATTTGGATTATCTTTATATAGCGATGCACAATTCTGAAACATAGTCATACTTCATTGAGTTTATAAATGAAGAAACCAGATGTACCTAGTGCCCTGTCAAACTCTGATTCTCCCTGCTGTTTTTCAGGGTGTGTGTGTGTGTGTGTGTGTGTGTACAAGAAGGCAACAAAGGAAAGTGAGGTGAAGTCAGAGTTTATCTTCCTGGGGAGATTTCATTTCCTCTAAGTCTATTTTTACTTGTTGGTAGACAAATCATACTGCTAATATATAGGAGTTAGTTGGCTGGTAACGGAGTGTTGCCGTGAGCAACCAGATTTCACAATGCTTCAAATCCCAATATGGGAAATCCTCGGTTCCCTAACCAATGGCTTTGGGTTAGAGTGTGTGTGTGTGTGTGTGTGTGTGTGTGTGTGTGTGTGTAATTCATGATGACTCAGTGTCTAAGAAGGTACAAATATTGGAGTGAATCTATTTCTGGTTCTTATGTTACCTTTCAGGAATGGACCCGGAAGACCTGGCTAAAATCTTTTCATCATCTCCTGCCAACATTCAGCCATGTCCCATTTTGGAAGGTAAGAAATGGTTTTTAGAGATGACGTAATGGGATCTAGATAAACCTTAATGTTACTTGAGTTTTCTTTAATTTTTTTAATGTTTATTTATTTTTGAGAGAGAGACAGAGACAGAGACAGAGACAGAGTGTGTGAGCAGGGGAGGGGCAGAAGAGAGAGGGAGACACAGAATCCAAAGCAGGCTCCAGGCTCTGAGCTGTCAGCACAGAGCCGGACGCGGGGCTCAAACCCACGAACTGCGAGATCATGACCTGAGCCTAAGTCGGACATTTAACCGACTGAGTCACCCAGGCGCCCTACTTGAGTTTTCTGAGTGCTACCACCAATGCATCACTAGCTCCAGCCTAGCCCGTCATACACATTGTGATGGCAGGCCATTAGTGTTTTGAGGAACCCATGAGCTCCCTTGAGATTAAGTGAAAAAAGTACAACATATTCTGGGGACCACAGAGGAGGGAGAAAACTGCTGGGGTACAGAGAGGACGCTTCGTAAGAGGAGATGAACATTGAAATGGGCTTTAAAGGATGAACAGGAGTTTACAGATAGAATAGAGGAGGGAAGGCGTTCTCAGTAAGTAACAGAATTATGCAAAGGCAGCTCTACTCCTCAGTGAAAAAAAAGTGTAGTTCTCCTCTTTAGGTGAGGACAGAAGCGTTAACTAATCTTGTCTCCGCTGGGCAAAATGTGTAAAAGCTAGGCTCTCAGACAAGCTGAGCTTCACATCATTCATGCTTTGAATGCTCACTTGTTGTGTATAGATGGTTATAATTCCAGAAAAGAGACGGTGGCATTCTCCAAGACACTTCTAGGGGGAAAACTACTATATGGAATCTGACACATAATCACCACAGATGGTAATGAGCTGGGTGATAAGACTTGAACAGTGCGTGATAGTCCGATGGGTGATAAGATCGGAACCGCTTTTCAGTTTACTTAAAAGTCAACTCAAATTAGACACTTAGTTTCTTGCTTCCGCCTTGTTCATTCGTTCAGGGGCTGTTAGCTGTGTGCTGACACTTGGCTATGAGCTCAGCCTATGGCAGTAAATGCTGTATATGTAAATGACATAGGTAAATGGCAGCCTTGAACCCTGCCTGCCTTTATGGAGCTTATAATTTAGCTCAAAACTGATCTTCAGAAGGATGCAAAACAGACCTAATTCCATCAGTTGGGAATAAAAGCGACATGTCCAGAAAGTAATCAGAAACACGCATAGTTCTCGATTCCGATCAAGGCACAGAATGGACCAACTCAGATGGCAATTTAACTGATCTGTGAAGCAGAAAAACGAGGCTATTTTAGAGGCTTTTAGACGTGTGGGGGCTCCACTCCCAACCGTAGTCCCTTATTAAGTAGAACTGTCACTTGTAAAAAATTGAGAACATTAAAAAATACACACAGTTTAGCTTTCCAAATGATTGGGCTATGAGTAACTCATTTAATTTAAAATTGCCTGTGAGTTCTTGGCAATCACGGGGCATATTTAGAAACCTTCGCAAAGCAAGAAGAATCTAACCTACAAATTGTTTTCAAATATAATAAAATAGCTATGAGCCGTAAATGTAACAATTAGTGAGGTTGACCTTAAGTGGCTTTCTGCACATTTGTGTAAATGTTTATTGATTTACACTTTGCAGTCTTTGTGTGTCATACTTGGGAGTCAGTTTTTTTTTTTTTTTTTTTTTTTTTAATCTGGGCTCTCAAACATTCTTGCAGGCCCTGGGTATTCTGCCCGTAATGCCTCATGGATAAAACGGCACTGCACACAAACGCAGAGTGGAAAAGGCCAATGAAATTAAGAAAGGTGTCAGTGTATATGGTTTCCAGATAACTTTAAGCGTTCTTTTCTACTTTGTGCAAAATTCTTGTAGAACCAAAGAGAGAGCCACGCGCTCAAAGGAACAGCAGATGTGCTAGCAATAAAGTACGTGCCTATCTGATGTACGTTCAGAACCACAAACAGGGCTGAGGCCCTTCGAAACAGAGTCTGAGAAAAGGAAAGACAAACAAGGAAGAGGAACTGATTTTTTTAAGCCCCCTGCTATGTTCAGCTCCGGGCCAGATCCTTTCTGTAGACTGTTGTATTCAATTCTCACAAGAACTCTGTGAGGCAGTTGTGATTGTTCCCATTTCACAGATGGAGAAACGAAAGCCTGGAGAAGTTGAGTAACTTGCCAAGGGATGGACAGCTATGAAGGAAGAGAGCCAGGGGTCAGTCTAACGCCAAAGACCACGCTCTTGGCACAACACGGATGCTGTCTTGTTTCGTAAAAGGGTGGGGATTATATCATCATCCTTCTTTTTCTAACCCCTGATGTAGTAAGTGGTGCATGTCACGTAACATCGTTGGGATGGGTAGAGAGAGGTTTCTTAGGTGGGTGGAGGCTGCAGGTTGCCAAAGAGCAAAGTTGAAGTGATAGAAGGCAGAATTTTGTCTTTCCTCTCAAATGATTCATTAGTGGATAAAACTCCTGAAGCCCATATTCTGTAGCAACATCAAGGGAATCTTTAACTATGGAAAGTCCCGCATCACAATCAGATGGGAACACAGCCAACCGCCCTCATGGTCACTTCACAGAGTTTCTCAAAATGCAGTCCTGGATCCCCTCTCTCAGAACTAGTGGAGGAGCTCACCCCAGGGCAGATCCCAGGCCCCAGGAATAGAATCTCTGGTGAGGACGGCCTGGAAATCTGCATTTCAACTCACCTTCCCTACCTCTCCAGATGATTCTTATGTTCCCCAAAAGCTCCCTTCAGTGGTTTAGAATAAGCTCCACTGCCCTCCTCTTTTTCTTCTGGAACAGCTTTTAGGGACCATAGCTTAAACTACCAGAAACGTCTAGTGCTAGGCTCACCACCCTTTAAAAGATGGGAAAGTAAAGAGAAAACTTGTAGCGAGTCAGCTACGAGGAGAACTCAAAACAAAGACAAAACAAAAACAAAACCCAAGAAGCCTTCCTGATTCTTGCTGTACTCGGATTAACTCCTGGGGCCTTGGCTTCAGTCAGTCAGTACTGTGATTCTCACCCACTGATAAGATTCCTACAGAGAGGTGGATGTTGACAGAGGTTTTTCAAGCAGCTATTATTGCCTAGAAGGTTAAAATTATCTTTTTAGAGCAGCCAAGCCATCTCCACCAGGAGGGAAGAAGGAAGGATGGAAGGATGGAAGGAAGGAAGGGAGGAAGGAAGGAAGGGAGGAAGGAAGGAAGGAAGGGAGGGAGGAAGGAAGG